CCATATTTATATTAAGTTTCATAAAATTCCAAGTTTTCGTGAAAGTTGTTTCAGGGGCATAGTGTGGCACAAAGGGCTTCTTGACACAAATTTAGCCGAAAATAGCTGCAATCATTGTAAGAATTACCCAGCCAATATTTTCAGCATTCACTGTTACTAAAATCAATTAAGAAATACCTTATTAATCTCAAAGCAAGCTTGATTGCTTAAGTAGCTCATTGGCCATTCCTGAACGAGCTGTTGTAGGTGTTTATAGCTGTAGGCAGGAAGGCTCTCCTCTAGCGGCCTGTCTGGCACCTTATCAGAAGAAGCCATTGAACGAAGACACTCTGTTGGTGTTTAACAGTCTTCTAAATTATGATTTCCACTTACAGTGGAAAATTACTAACCATCCCAGGAAAAGGGGCTTTCTTTAAAAAATTGTCATTACCAGACATCAAGGCCAATTTAACTGTTTTAAATTATACTCTCTTAAAGAAGAGACTGTTTTATCTTGATTCAAAGTCTAACAGCAGACTTTAATTCTAGGCCTTACAAGGTGAGGTGACTGAGGTTTGCAAATTGCATCTGTCATGAAATTTCAAGTATTGTCTTACCTAAGACCACTGTTGATAAAATATGATGTTATTCATCAGAGGCACTGAAAATAAGATTCAATGTTCTTGACAGACTGATTCAAATTTAGGCGGACATACTGTTATTACATATTGTACCTCATAGCATAGCTTTATTTTCTCTTATGTCATCCTGGTATCAAGGATACATGTATTCATTTACAACTGTCTTTTTCCCCAGGGAACCAGGATAAACTGCGTCCAAATTGCTCGCAAAGGTAAGTCTGATATGAAACCTTTATTCTGAATTATTCTTGTATGTAGTGATTTTGTGAAGTAGCGATAAGCACATAAAAAGAGTGGGGGCTTTCCCAAGGCAATCCATGAACTTGTGTTTGTGTGGCTGGGTGTGTGTGCTTGCGTTTTTATTACATGGTGGGGACCAATTCCATAAAACTTTGCACATCATGGGGACCAAGTGCCAATGTCTGTTCCCCATGTGTACAAATGCTGTTTTAAATTAGGTGTTAGGATGAAGGTGAGAATTGAGTTTAGGTTAGGTTAGGATTGGGTTTGGGTAAGGGTCACAGTTTCACGCTTAGGTGTAACACCTAAATTTTAGGCTTAGGTGTTAGGTTTAGGACGAAGATGTAAACTGAGTTTAGGTTAGGATTAGGGTTAGGTATGAACCCGTAATGGTTAGGGTTAGGGTGACGGTTAGGCTGTAGAAATGTGTTAGAAATTAATGAAAGTCAATTGAAGGTCCCCACAAGTATAGAGTTATATAAACTGTGTGGGTGAGTGTGTTTGTAAAAGAGGATCCGAGAAATGTCTCTGCTGGTAGTTTTAAGAGTCGCTCCTCTATACTTGTCATTTCCATTTGGGAATCAGGTCCAACACAGATTACTAGGGTATTAACATGTACTAGGCAATGGCCTGGTTGAAAGATAATTCTTTATTATTTCTTTTTAAAGAATCCCTCTCTTAATGATTTAGTATTCCTAGCAAGAGGATAAGATTAAAGACAAGAAACTGGGCATGTTGTCTAATGGGCAGGCAGCGCTTGTTCAACATAGGTGCCCGTTAAATCAAGATGGCAGGGGCAGGGCACTGTCAATTTCACAATAAATGTGCGAAGTACACATGAGAAGTTGATAATGTAATCAGAGGTTGCAATGGTAAATTTATGGAGTCATATTAGATGAAACAACCTTAGGTTTATGCTTATTGTTAGCCCTCAGAGGAGAGGGTAAACCAACGGTATTAAATTAGGTTTAGATATTAAATCCACTGACCTAAGGTTAAGGTTTCCTCCAAAACTGTCGGTGTGTGTTTTGTGTTCTGTCACACTTATCCCAAGCGGGGTCACGAGGGCTGCTGCTGCCTATCTAAAGCTGTCTACAAACGAGAGGCGTAATTCCATAATTGCTAATTCCATCCCAGCAAATACAAATGCTGTCAACTTCAGCTGATTGATACAGATTATGAAAAGTTTCCTATCCAAGGAGACCTAGTCATCTGCAGGTAGTCAGTGACTTTGCAGCATCGACTCTCTGCAAGGGCAGAATGCTTCATTATTGAAATAACATCATATTCATCATATATGATTAATATGTCAGATTAACTACATTTTGAAAATTATAATCTTAAGATATTGTAATGACGCCAGCAACACCGAGGTATTGTCGTCAACAAGATTCGAGTTATTATTCCTAAAGGCTACAGCTCACGCCTCTAACAACATAGCTAGAACACACAACCAGCAACTTTACTGTTAAGGCCGGGTTATACTCCTGCAGCAATGTGTCGCAGTAAGCTTGATGCAGACATTTTCGATTTATGCTCAAAATTGAAGCGTGGTCTGCACTATACGCTGTGGGTCTAGATACGGCTGAGACGATGAGGAAGTGGGGGCGAGTTTAATCCGACAACGGAGGGACATGATGGCGAAAAATAGCGGGGATCCAAGTGGAAAAAGGGTCCCAGCGTTCTCGTGCACCTCCATCTTCTAGCTGGTCAAACTTCACGAGTTGTTTTCCGCAATTTCTGTCATAAAAACAAAACAAGCCGGCCTCCTGTCTGCAGTCAGCTACAATTTTGGAGAGGAGCAGCGGAGAGTCTGCGGAGGGGGCGGGGACGTCTTCTTGTTCACAGACGACCTGGTTTCGAAGTATAAATCAGCCTTTAGCCTCGCTCCTCTACCACACTACTTCCTGTCCTGGAACTGCTGCTCACCCGGCTCCCCCCACATGATGTAACAGGCCAATCACATGAGAGCAGGAGTCAACAGAGTCCAGCAAAGGAAAACACATAAAGATAAGGAACACAATACAAATAACCGTATGGACCCCAATAGAACCAAACACAGAACCGTTACAATATTAAAGGTACTTGTTGTTAACCCCATATTTCCCATATCAATATGTTTATTTATGGTGTGTTGGGATCTGATGCAACATTAGCTTACTAATGTTATCATTTCATTCGTTGTCAGCTTAAATTTTTCATAAATTAATTATCAGGGTTATAAGTAATCAGGATGGAAATAATGATTTGAGAGACCCACTCTGTTTGGAATTTGTTTGTTTTTATTTGGTGAGTTAAATTTCTTAACTAATTTAACTTTCCATAATTTTATGAACAATTATCCAATGAGTCTGAAATATCTTTTGGGTGAGCCCTTAGACATCAGCTTTCAAAAATATACATTAATACTGATACCAAATCAGTTTTAAGATTAATAATTTTCTTTCTTGCATGGTATCATATGTTCTTCAGTGAGCCAGGCTTTCACCCTTATGTTAGCCAAATCCATGTGCCTTTAAATCCGCAGTGTAGAAAATCCCTTACCTCTCAGTGACCTACAGAGGATGCTGCTGTTTATTCTATCTTAACCTGTTTGTTGTTAAATTAATTTTGATGGATTTGTCTGTCTAAATGTTTTATTGTTGTCTTTTCCTTATAAACTGACGTATAGTGAAATTAACATTATTCTACCCCCTTTTATCTTGGTTTACCTTAACATTTAGCTGCCTATAAGGACTCCAAGAGAACACTAGAGGTATCCAAGCATGTTGAGGACATTGGTCCAATCCTGGGAGCCTGTGCTGGAGGTCTAATAGTCATCACTCTCCTCCTATTGGGCATCATCATCATTGTGAAAAAGGGGTGAGTATTCTCTTTATGATCCATTGGACTGAGATTGGTAACACCTTTAAGCAGCCATGGTATCAGCTCTCTTTGTACCTGTGGAGTAAGTAATCCAACATTTTCCCATTAGGCTCAAGGCTTAATTGATTAAAGCATCTAGCCATACAAGTAAATTATAACTAGAGTCAATTAGAATGATGGAGCATTAATCCCAAATTCTTAACCTATATTTTCTAAATGCACTTTTTTTTTCAAATTTGCTTTCAAGTTTGATTTCTTCATGAGCTTATTTACAAACATATTTGGTTATGATTGGAGTCGTTCAGTTCTTTCCACCTGTAAATCACCTCTGTCATCATTCTTTTAACCTGCCATAAACCATGTAGTTCAGTTTGACTTCTAAGCAGTATCAATCTGGAAAGGCTCCTGTGGAAAGTGTTTGCAAAAGGTAGGGAAATTCAGTACAATTTTTTAGCTGACTGGATAAATCACCTAGTGGCACCTGCCTCCTATGTCGACCATTCCACCAATTGCAACACCAGTAGCAGCTGTGATGTAGCACATTGATTTGTTTCACACATAGAGGAGTTAACAAATAAATGAAAACTGGTAGGGAGGAATAAGAAAACCTATTTCCCATCCACCAAGGAACAAAATGCATTGGTTTGCTAGTTTTTCAAAAAATGAAATAGAGCATATTCCAGCTGAAACAAACCAAATCACAAGAGTCACGTATGGCAGCTAATGGCTAACAAGTACATGCATGCTTGTCTTGCTTTAGCTTGCTGATTCTGGTCTTCATACACATCATTGCATTTAATTAGTTCAAAATATTTCTGCATTTGATGCTAATACATCTTTAGGCTTCTGGCAAGGTTTATTTTTAGGAGTTGTGAAAACACAAATATTGTGACAGTTCATTTTGCTTGTAAGCTAACTTTTCTTTTTAATGTTGGGTTTTTTTGGAACACTCACCTGTGTGTGAAAACTTTCACCATGGGAAATGTAATTGCATTGCCCACTGAACTACTTGAGGCGAGCAACTGGCAGGTGCCAGAGGATGGCCTGGTAATTGGATAGCCTGGTGTTTCTGTTGTTTTTTTTTTTTTGTGTCTTTTTAGTGGGGGGTTGGTAAGATTCATATCTCTTGAGGGGTGGTCTTGTTTAAAAGTTGGATATTTGATAGGGAGTGTATAAAATAAGGCAATGACAGATATTTAGAATTATACATATTTGATAAACACACATGTTAACTCACACATTGAAGTAGATTTTTGATCTGATGAACTTACAACATTGACCCATTGTTTTTAAATTTCCAACTTTTTAGAACTGTGTTTAAAGCAGTACTGTGTACCTTTCAACACAACTATTTGCTTAATTTGAGATCTATTAAATTATTTTGCGTATACCGGGGGGGGATTTATCAATAGGCATTACTAGACAGTTGCCCAGGGCCCCAAGTTTCTGGGGGCCTCATAAAACTCAGTTTACATGTATAGTTAATGCAACTATGGCTTACCTGTGCACAATAATTATGTTTTTGATATAAATCCTTTGGCTAAAATGCCATCAGAACGCTTGTAATATTAGAAGTGCCCACCCCATTGGATCAGTCCATTTGCTGCACATGTCCAGAAAGGTCCAGACAGCAGCAAGCCATTTGAAAACAACCAATGAACAGCAGTGTTGCCAACTTAGCACTTTAGTCACTATATTTAGTGACTTTTCAGACTCCTCTAGCACTTTTATTTAATAAAAGCGCCTATCGACATATCTAGTGACTTTTTTCTGCTGCTTTAGACTTTGGCGACAACATCTAAAAGCAGCGAACTCTGCTCTCCAGAGCAAGTCGATTTATAACCCCGCCTCCTTCTCTCCTCTATCTTGTCTGCTGTCATGATTCATGCAGCTATTATTTCATCCAAATGAAAAATGGAGAACAGATAAGCAGATCAATTCAATTCCGTCTATTTATATAGCGGCAATTCACAACACGTCATCTCAAGGTTCTTTACAGTTCACCAGATCATACAGTCAGATTGATTCAAAGTTTTCTAAGGAAAACCAATTGATTGCAGCGACTCACTGACTCTCAGGCAATCCGTCACACTAAGCATGCTTGTAGCGACAGTGGAGAGGAAAAACTCCCTTTTAACAGGAATAAACCTCCTGCAGAATCAGGCTCAGTGTGAACGGCAGTGTGAGATCATGGCTTGTCTACAGTTAAAAGGAAGAATGTGTTTACTTTGGCCGAGGCATGAAAAGTCAGCTGAGTATAAAACAGATAGAGGAAAACAACAACAAATGGGACCAGAAGAGAGGGACAAAACCTAGAACTAATATATGTATGCCTATTCTATTAAAAGTTCTGTATCTGTATATTGGGTCTGTTTTATTTGTTGTCTTCAGAGGGCCCTATTTTGTTTTCCTAGGGCCCCAAATTTCCTAAATCCGCCCCCTGGTGTATAAAGCATGTTACACTCGCTGCTTTTGGCTGATCTCAAAAACATACTAATGTCATTTTCTTGTAAATGTCTTATAGCCTCCATTGTCAAAAGAAAGCTCATATTTGTATACAGATTTTTAAAGTTAACCACAATGAACCCAAACTCTATTTCAATATTGGTCGTCTGTGGAACGTTCATAAATCGACCGTAGTGCACAATGGTTATTTGTAAATTTACAATATTAGCTAATAAGGGAAATGTCAGTTTTTGCTGAGAATCTAGCTATTCCAGAAGTCTAATCACCTTTAAACTGCTTGAAATGTATTATTTGTGTTTTTGAAAATGACATTTTAAGTCTTTAAATAGCTGCTAGTTTGATGACTCATAAAAACTTTGTTTCTTTGTTGTTTTTTTCTTCCTCTTTGTTTCTCTTTTCTTCATGCTAATCAGAATGGACTTCTATTTTTACCCTTATAATCCGTAAGTTACTGCTCACTTTCTGTGCTTTAACGCCCCCATTGTCCTCTGTAGCCCAAGAGTAGCAAGGAAGAGCACTGCTTATCTCATGCTATTGTACAAACCACATTTACCTTCTCACTCCCTACCTACCTCCACTCTCTTTCTACCTCCTTTTAACTCCACAGAACAAGTATTGCCACCAATTATTGCAATCTTGTTTCATCAGATTTTAATGTTTCCTCGTCTTATACTTTATTCATCATTCCCTCACCAGCCCGCTGCTACTGGCCTTACTGATCTCTTTTGACTGCATAAACTCAATCTTCATACTCTTTTCTGCTGGCCACTTTCTGTTACTACTCTCTGTCGTCCAATTTTTCTGCAGGAGAAAGAAGGTGGCCATAAACAAGGCAGCCCTGTCCTACATGCGGGAGAAGAGTTGCAAACTGAGCCCTTTGGATTGCCATATGACTGAGCAGAGCACCCTCCAACACCACGAGAAGATAATTCGCCCCTTAATGGACACCAAGGGCTGCATCACTCGATGTAAGAACGCAGGGAGTATATGGCCAGTGTTGAGAAATTGTCATGGAGAAAGACCCTCCGTCTTTTCTGACCTTTAAATTGGTCTGCTTCCAAACGTCTGCAATCTGGTGCTCTGGTAGTGTCATTATGTTACAAAGTTCAGACCCAAATGCAGAAAAACCAAACAGAGAGATCAGGGAAAAGGTTTAACGGGTTTTATTGAAGTGGTTAAACAGCGGGAGAAGTGTTGCTCTGAACACTGCTCAACCGGAACTGTAAAGTGAGGGGAAGACAGCGGTAAGTTCAGGCTCAGTGGGGAATTTGACTCGTGAACTTGGAGAAGATGATTTGGTTTCCAGAGAAGTTGTCGAATCCTTGACTCCTGTCTGTGTGCCGTGTGTCCAGTGATTGTCTGATTCGGTGGAGGGCGTAACAGCTTTTACCCAGAATGCGGTTGTTATAGGTGAACGGAGAAACTGACTGCCACTCAGATTGAACGGGTCGTAGTGGAGAATAATTTGAGCTTTCTCAGTGAGAAGCTCAAACGATCTCTTGGGGAAAGTGGATCCAAACCTTCCGTTTGAACCCCAGCTCAGTTTGAAGCTCAGTTGATCCTTCCAGGGAGTGAAGGTCCGAGATCCAGTTAGCAGGACAACTTCCTGCCAAGAGGCAAAGACAAAAACAAAGTTAAACTCAGGTTGACAAAAACTCAACTTGAGTAGAGTAGATTACCCTAAACTGGCAAACACTCAGGCATCGAGGTAGTGGCAGTCAGCAGCTTAAGAACACTCCTTTTAACAAGGAAACCATCAGCAGGTGGGTGAGGAGGTGGACCAGAACCAGGCGCCTCCTGGTGGATGAAGGGAGATAAACACAGAAACACAAACACAAAAACAGGAGTCCTGACAGGTAGAGAATTGTCTTGTCTGTATGGATATATTTGCAGCTCTGTTTGGCCTTCATTTGGAAGTGCATACCCCCCCCCCCAGCTGCCTCCTACACCTATTTGCATGAATTTGAAAAGACTGAAATGAGAAAATAATAAGGATTAGGATACGTCGCCTGTTGTCTACATTGTGCACAATATGATTTGACCTGTGTTCCCAGATGAACACCTTAGCTCCTCCACTGAATCCAGCAGCTTATTGGGAAGCTCACCCCAGCATCACTGTCAGAGAAGGAGTTCACCCTATCACACAGGTCAACTCCACCCAGCGGTGAGGGTAGCAGACCTCCTTCAGCACATCAACCACATGAAGACATCTGAAGGATACGGCTTCAAGCAAGAGTATGAGGTGAGACAGTGGGCAAACCGACAGCTCAGAACTTAATACGTGCTCAAGAGGATGTGCATAAAGATAATTTAAAAGTTTATGTCAAGGTTAGGTACCAGTTAAATGCCTTTTTTTTATCCCACTTAGTGTAAAATCTGAATATTGTGTTAAAGTTTCTTTATAACGATTTTTTAAAGCCTCCCAAAGTCCACTGTGGGCATATATGTGTGGAAAATTTCCTTTGGCACCACTGGGCAGAGATGGCAAAAGTACTCACTTTCCGTACTTGAGTAAAAGTACAGATACTTGTGTTAAAAAATACTCTGGTAAAAATGGAAGTACTGATTAAACTTCTTTACTCAAGTAAAAGTAACAAAGTACAGGCTTGTAAATTTACTTAAAGTATAAAAGTAAAAGGAGAAACCACTTTTTTCATGCCGTTGCCTACATTTTAAATGGATGTCTTCCAATAGGACTAGATCTCCGTTGTGTTCATTTTCAATCATCTCGTCGTCCATGCTACTATGCTAACGCCACCGCCACCAAGCTGCAATGATTTGCCGCGAATGAATATCGCCGAATCTGTCGATTCATCTTGTAGTGGTGCGTCAAATGCAACGTAGATTCCCATCCAATTAGATTGAATTTGGTATTGATGACGTGAAAAATAATAACGGTAACTCCATTGAAATGATTCAAAACTAAAGTAACGAGACAATTTTTTTAAAATGTAAGGAGTAGAAAGTACAGATATTTGTGTAAAAATGTAAGGAGTAGAAGTAAAAAGTCGCCATAAAAATAAGTAGTAAAGTAAAGTAAAAATATCAGAAAAATCTACTTGAGTACAGTAATAAAGTATTTGTACTTCTTACTTCCCATCTCTGCCACTGAGTATACATTTGCTACAATATAATTGTTGTTTTCATCCAACCCTGAAAAGAGACATTTTTCATGACAATATCACCCTCTCCTTGAATGGCCGCCGCCCATTTAATGACATTACCTTATCAATCCACTTTTGGAGTCTACTCTTCTTTACAAACTAGGTTGAATAAAGTCAGAGACAAACACATTTTCGCAACACAGACATTGACATAAAAAGGTATGGTTGTTGTCATTGTTTAGATTAGATACTTTAAGAGCCACTTTTATGAAGGTATTTTGATGCAGATGTATCTGGCATCGTGTGTCTATTTGTCTATAAAGATTTTCTTTTGTTTTTAGGGGTTTAAGGCACTAGTGGCCTTTTTTGAATGGAAAAGATCCTGGATTTTCTTCTTGTGGTTCTGCTACACTGATCTGATGGCAGGGTTTAAGGCTCTCTCTGTCCTCAGTTCCTCTCTGTTACCAGACCTGAAGGCTGAATTCTATGCTTTTAGTGATTTTCCAACCTCCCCAGTCATCCAGAGTTGTTTAGTGGCCCGGGTGATGATGTTCTTTGTGATGCTGTCATTCTCAATGCATTTGTTGATGTAGGCTGACACAGTCAAGTTATACCCATCGATATTGATCTTGTTGTCATATGTAGCTGCAGCTTTTAACATGTTCCAGTGCCTCCATTGCCCCCTTAATCCACACCCTGACCTGCATCGCTGTAGGTTTAGCCCTAATAAGACAGGGCCTGTATGCAGGAATTAGCATGACAGATAAGTGGTCTGATGAGCAGAATTAGAGTTGGGGGGGCTGATCTGAATGCATCTTTATGTTGGGGTAGACCAGGTCAACAGTGTTCTGTCTGCAAGCTGCAAAGTCCATATGTTGCTAAAAATGAGGGCGAACAGTCTTCAAATTAGCCTGGTTAAAATCCACAGCAATGATGAAAATGCCCTGTGTGTGCAGATTGAAGCTCACAGATCTGTTTAAGGGTTAGAGTCTGGAATTAGTGCTGGGGAGCACATATATGGCAGTCACACTAGCAACCGTGAACTCTCTAGGCAGATAGAAAGGTCTGCAGTTAACAGTCAAGAATTCGATCTCTGGAGAGCAGAAACTGGTGACAAATTTAGCATTTTTACACCCCTTGCTGTTGATGCACAATCCTCCTCCTCTGGTCTTAAAGCTGAGTCTGAAGTTCCTATGAGCTCGGTATAATGTGAGTCCCTCCAGGCTCGGTATTGATGAGTTAAGCCATGACTCGGACAGGATGAGGGCGCCGCAGTTACTAATCTCCTTCTTTGAAAACCGTAAGAGTTGAAGATGATCCATTTTGTTCTCCGGTGAGTGGGCATTGGGGAGCAGGATCGAAGGGAGCGACGGTCTCTGGGGATTTTTTCTAAGGTTTGCTGTTAGCCAACCTCTGCAGCCCCGTTTACACCGTCTTTCGCTTCCCCTTGCTCTTTCTCTGGCTTGGCCTGCTCCATTGGTCCACTGTTCTGTTTGCGTCTGACCTAAGCACTTTGAAGCTTTTTAAGAGCTCAAGAGTGGCTGTATCTACTAGTCCAGAAAAAAAACACTTGATGACAGGTGCTCCAGCAGGCACTGGAGGTCATAGATGTATAGTTTGTGGCTTTCTAGGCAGCATATTTTGGGGAATTGTTGAGTGCTGTTGAAAAGCTGCTGCCTTTAGGCGCCACCATGAGCAAATTCTATGCATAGCTCTATACATACACAGATATTATGAAATTATGTAGGTCACCAGTAGGATACGCAGAATGCTGAAGCTCAAAATGAATTTCACATTGGGTGAGGAAAGCCGGACACTGATCAGGCTCTGCCTTTAGCAGTTCAGTGGGAAGAATTAAGTAGATTAAGAAGAGAACATCGTACACTAAAACATTAGGAGGCTCGGATATGTTCAGGACCTACTTTGCTTCTGACACAGGGTGTCTTGAAGCCCTGCAGGGTACAATGAAATCCCAGGACTATCAAAGGATTCTAGAGAGAAATGTACTGCAGAAAGCTTGATCTTAGTTACAGATTATGGGTCTTTCAACAGACAACTTGGTAGCTTTTTGCCTCTGTCATCTGACTGTATGATCTGCTTAAACTTTCTCTGTAAAGTCCCTTGACATATTGTGAATTGCCCCATCCTCCTCTAACAGATTTTATAAGCAAAAAAACATTACTAGAATAAACACCAGGGCTTTAACCAGAGGAGACTGTAATGTTCGGCGGCGTAGGGCCAAATTTGGCCAAATGGTTGCATTCATCAGAGGAGCACAGTCATGGAACACACTGCCAGCTTTACACTGGAAAAAATTATCTAGAAAGGAGTAAAAATGTCTTAAATTAAGTGTATTTACCCTTAATTTGAGTGGTTAAATGAGATAGTTTGCCAATGGAATGAGTAAATTCAGTCTTAGAATAAGATAATTAGATAATATGTTATAGAAACAAGACAATGCAATAGTTTTTTTCTTATTTTAAATGTAAATTATCTTGGTCAATTTGCAAAATTTATCTTTTATCTCCTCAATTCAAGAAGAAATGCACTTATTTTAAGAAAAAATGACTTATGGAGATTTAAATTTTTTTGCAGTATAGTGGCTGTTCAACCTACATAAGTTTTAAAATCTGCTTGAAAGATTGGATGAAAACTAACCAGGCGTGTGTTCACAGGTGAATAAATGTGTTTTTGTGGGCCTGCAAACCTAATTTTATTTAGATTTCATGCTATTGGCATCTTATCTATTTGCGTCTTGTTTAATGTTCACTGTTTTTACCTGCCTTAGGACAGTGGATGCAAATTAGCTGTTGTGCTAATTCTGGCATATTTACATTGATGTTTTAAGCTGACATGTTGTCCTAATCAAAAATAAATAAATGAATAAAATAAAGCTAGAATCAACTATGAATGGCTAAGAAAAAAACATTAGTCTATTCTAGTGGCCATCTATCAGCCCCGACCATAATCAATAATTTAAAGCATATTTGGAAGGAGCTGAAACGTGCTGTCTGGAAAAGGCTCCCTTCAACTCTACGACAACTGGAGCTGTTTACTTATGAGGAGCGGACCAAAATACCTGCAAAGGGAAGCAGAAATCTCATTGACAGTTAAAGGAATCATTTGATTTTTATCCACATGTGTTTTATTACTTCAGTTGAATTAAGTTTACTTTTCGAGTCAGTGACACGTAGGATGTTTTGGCTTGCAATTTGTTGCTGACCCTACAGAAACCCCTCACACCGAGCATGTAGGGGAGACAGTGGAGAGAAAAATCCCTTTTAACAGGAAGAAACCTCCAGAACCATGCTCACTGTGAACGACCATCTGCTGGGGCCCACTGTGGATGAAAGAGTGAGAATCAGACCTACAAAAGGTGTTGATAAATTAGCTCCACTGTGGGTTCGTCTAGGAAAGAAACAGTACCAAACAATAAAAAATTTGCCCAACTCTATCATCTATAATCAAAGGTGTTGACCAGCTTATTTTCCACCAGATATAGTTACTATTCATTGTATCCTGCAAACAAACAACTTTGTTTTTCAGTTTTTCTTCACATTCAGTGCTCATATTTTTTTTGGCTTTCCGTTACCTGAATGAACAGTATTTAAAAGGAAGTCCAGAAGTTTTTAGTTGTAAAGAGGATCCACTTTGCCTTCCTGCCTGAATGTTTCGCTCTGCTCTAGATTGATGGTGAGTCGGTGTGGCATGCAGCATAAATAGAATGTGTAAATTTAAGAAGCAGGGAGTGCAGAGTTGCACAGAGATGCTTTCTAAATCCATCATGGCAGCTGGGCAGAGCTGCTCTAACGGACTAGATTTACTGTGATCAGCTGTGAAAGTGCAGCAGCTGCACTGTGGCACCCCAGCACTGCTTCCACGTCCTGTGAAATGAGGGTCAGGCCTCTGTACTTCAGGCTTGCTTACCCCTGTTCCCCCACCACACCAACACTCATCTTTAATGAGCCAGTGAACCCTGTGTCCATTAAAGCACTGATAATAAACTAATCTGATTTGTGGAGATTGGATATATATACTTATATCCAGGGGGGGATTTACCATTAGGCAATACTAGACAGTTGCCTAGGGCCCCAAGTTCCTGGAGGCCCCATAAAATATATATTTTTAATTTATATTTGTTCACATTATGTTTTTGATGAAACTATAATATTAAGTGTGTCTCTGCCCCGCTTCAGTGTCCATCACATTGGATCAGACCATTTGCTGCAAATTTTCAGAAAGGTCCAAACAGACAGCAGCAAACCAGTTGAAAACAAACAATGCGAAGAGCAGTGTTGCCAACTTAGTGCTTTTGTTGCTATATTTAGCAACTTTTCAGACCCCTCTAGTGCTTTTATTCCAGAAAAGCACCTAGTGCCTAATCTAGCGACTTTTATCTGTTAGTGGAGACTTTGGCGACAACATATAAAAGCAGTAGATTGGTAACCCCGCCTCCTGCTCTCCTCTATCTTGTCTGCTGTCATGATT